AAAAATTTAGCTAAGCTGCAAAGTTTGTGTGATTACTAGAAAATGAGTGAAACCGCATCTCCTAAAAAGATCGCTAAGAAATCGGCTCCCAAAAAGCCTGCCGATCATGCTCCGTACAAGGCCATGATTGTTGATGCCATCAACTCGCTTAAAGAACGCAAAGGATCGTCCAGACAAGCCATCGCTAAGCACGTTAAAGCCAACAACAAGGTAGGCGACAATGTCGATTCGCAAGTGAAGATCAATCTTAAGCGAATGGTCGTTGCCGGTGAGCTGGTACAAGTGAAAGGTGTTGGCGCATCCGGTTCGTTTAGAGTTGCTGCCAAGCCTAAGGCGGCTAAGAAGAAGAGTCCTGTTGCAACCGTTAAAAAAGTCAAGAAAGAAAGCAAAGAAGTGAAGAAAAGCACGCCCAAAAAGAAAGCCGCTCCGACTAAAAAGGTGACAGCAGCAGCCAAAGAAAAAGCGAAAAAACCGAAAGAAAAAGCAGCTAAGAAGACGCCAGCGAAAAAGAGCGCCCAAAAGCCGTTGGCAGCAAAAAAACCTGCTGCCAAGAAAGCCAAAGCAACTCCAAAGAAGAAAGTCGCAGCGAAGAAGACCACCGCCAAAGTCGAAAAGAAATAAGTTCGGCTTGCCCTTTCATGTTAAACGGCTATTTTCATAGCCACACATCTTTCTAAAAACACGAGCATAGGCATAGAACAGACAAGGATTTGTTCGTTGCGATAAAATCCTGCGTTGTTCACGAATCCCGTATACGTACATGTTTACAAACACGACTTTATTACGAGTAAACCCCCGAAAAAACGCTCACTGTTTTCGTCAAAGGCTTGAGTTGAAAACAAAAAAGGATTGCCAGGTCAAGGGAAATGTCAGGGCATTCAGATTTATCTGCAAAAAAAAAAAAAAAATAAAAAATAAAAAAAAATAATAATAATAAATGTGGGAGTTATCAGCGAAAAATGGCTAGTCCTCAAACTTGCGTGACTTTTGCAAGTTGTTTATCGTACGCGTAATAGAAAATTTTATCGGGCAGATTTTTCTTGATACTTTGTTATGTCTATTGTATCAACGTTTACATTTTTGCAACGAAAGAGCGTTTTTCTAAGTCTATTTTTCCTGGAGTTGAATTTAATTAACTTAAAATTAAATCAGGAAGAACAGGTAGTAGATCAGGAAAAGCCATATTACAGCATTGGCAGACACGCTAAATTGCGTTGGCAGTCTTCCGCAAATTCTTTAAATCTAGAGGAACTAGCTTGATCTCTCTTTTGTGGCCGTCGCAGAATTACTAACATTCTCAGAGTAAGTCTAAACATCAACAGGCGCGCATTGTCGTAGAGAGGTCTAAAACGCACACTAGAAGTGTGACCATATTTTATTGAACGCATATGGTTCATTTAAAAGCCTCAGTGGCCATACTGCGCCGAGTAGCGTAGCCACACTACTCGGCGCGGTCGAAGCCGAATACGTTTTTAACAGATTTGTGGCTATGAAAATAGCCGTTTTGTGAATAAGCAAGTTCTTAAGCTCGCTCCCCTCTGATTCTTCTCGCCAACTGAATGTCCTTGGGCATAATGGTGACACGCTTTGCGTGGATGGCGCACAGGTTGGTGTCTTCGAAGAGGCCGACTAAGTAGGCTTCGGACGCCTCCTGAAGGGCCATGACGGCGGTGCTTTGAAAGCGCAAGTCGGTCTTAAAGTCCTGCGCGATTTCGCGTACCAATCGCTGAAACGGTAGTTTTCTGATGAGGAGCTCAGTTGACTTTTGGTATCTTCGGATTTCCCTGAGAGCTACGGTACCGGGTCGGTATCTGTGAGGTTTTTTCACTCCGCCGGTAGCTGGGGCACTCTTCCTTGCTGCTTTCGTTGCCAACTGCTTTCGAGGTGCTTTACCACCGGTGGATTTTCTGGCAGTTTGCTTTGTTCGGGCCATAGTCGTTCAAATTGCACTGCTTTCGAGATAGCACTAGTTCAAACTAATTCGCTGGTTTGTTGACATGCCAGAGTTTAGCGCCTTTATAAGAGTGCATCAATTTGATTGGCGCTTAGAAAGTGCTTTTTGATTGGCTCAAAAAAATCTGCAAAAACTTTGGCCTCATTTTTGCTAAAAAAATGAACGCCGCGGGCTCTGATCTTGCACACTCTGTAGCTTTTAGTTTTACTTTCAAACGTTGCGTTGATAAAGCGGACGTGATCAGTTTAATATTTTCTTTTTCGCCATTCGCTTTTCTTTAATAGAATTTATTAGCTGATCCAACAATGAAAATGTCTGTGTGAACGTACACAACAAATGAAAATGCGCGCCTTAACTTTTGCGCAGTCAACGTGTTCGCATTGCTTCCATCTATGTCGGGTTAGCTTTGACGTGCAATAAAAAGTAGTGAAATCGCGCCAGAAGTTAGCATTCAACTTGAACAATTCAACATGTCTGGTCGTGGTAAAGGAGGAAAAGGTCTCGGCAAAGGTGGTGCCAAGCGTCATCGCAAGATATTGCGCGATAACATTCAAGGCATCACAAAGCCCGCTATACGTCGTCTAGCTCGCCGAGGTGGAGTCAAGCGTATCTCAGGGCTTATCTACGAGGAAACTCGAGGTGTTCTGAAAGTCTTTTTGGAAAATGTGATTCGCGACGCTGTGACTTACACGGAGCACGCCAAGAGAAAGACTGTTACCGCCATGGATGTTGTCTACGCTCTAAAGAGGCAAGGACGCACATTGTACGGATTCGGCGGATAAGCTCTCCAGCAACAAAAACGGCTATTTTCATAGCCACAAATCTGTTGAAAACGTTTTATTTGGCATGTTGTATACATGTAGAAAAAAAAAACCTATAGAGGCTGTGATTTCAACAACACTTACTCAAATTAAGCAAACTCGTTTTAAGTTTAAAACTACTAATAACAAATGCAATGTAACTAGAGAAGCGTGTTGGCGTAAGTTCATGAAACTTTGAAAATCAGATAATACAGTTTTAGGCGTTGGTAAATATAACTTCTAGGGAGATAATATAAAATTGATTACACTTAATAGTAATAGGCTTTTAAGTTTTACACTGGAAAAATGTTTTTTTATCGTGTAAATGCATGAGAAAAAAAAAAAATCGTCAGCATCGGTTGTGTTTTTGTTGATTATTATTATTCTAAACGTCATCAAATTTTCTAGAAAAATTGTTGAAAAGAACATTGCATTTGACCAAATTTCAATATACACTCAGATTATTATTATTGTTCAGATTATTTTTATTATTTAATGTCGTGTTTCTCTGCTTACTTTCATATAAAGTATAGGGCTATAGGGATTGCCTCTGGTTGGAATTGAATTTTGTTTCTTTGATTAAGTCATTTTTTTAAAAAGAAGGGCGAGAAACATACTTTTTATATAGTTTAGTTTTACACTATATTACAAGCTGTCTTGTTCTAATGCGCACAACGCCGTTTTTAAAAGATTTGTGGCTATGAAAATAGCCTTTTAGTAGTAGCACGTCTACTTGCTGCTCGTGTACTTGGTAACAGCTTTGGTGCCTTCGCTCACCGCGTGTTTTGCCAACTCACCGGGAAGTAAGAGGCGTACGGCGGTTTGAATTTCACGCGAAGAGATTGTAGACTTTTTGTTTTGAAGGGCGAGTCGCGAAGCTTCAGATGCGATCCTTTCAAAAATGTCGTTCACGAACGAATTCATGATGCTCATCGCTTTAGACGAAACTCCGACATCGGGATGCACTTGCTTCAACACGTTGTAGATGTAAATGGCGTAGGACTCGCGTCTCTTCTTCTTGCGTTTCTTATCTCCTGTACCGGCGATCTTGCCGCCTTTTTTGCCAGCTCGTTTTTCACCCTTTTTGGCTACCTTGGGCGCCTGCTTTCCTCCTGTTTTCGGAGCGTCAGACATTTCTACAGTGAGATTGAATATCGAATAATTCTGGCGTGCAGTTGAACGCCTAAATTATTTATTGCAGAGTTGTGCTCTCCAATTCGAGTCCATTTGTGATGCGGCGCGCTAAATCGATTGGCTCGCGCCAAACCATTGTTTCGGAAAACGCTGTTTTTCTATTCGTCGAAATTTTGTCGATTTTGAGAGCATTACTTTTAAATAACTAAGACAAACGATTCAGAGCTACTTCAAAATAAACTCGTTTCACAATTTTGTCTGTTGCTTCGTGTAAAACAACAAAGAAATCTAAAATGTCAGGACGTGGTAAAGGAGGTAAAGCTAAAGCCAAGGCAAAGACACGATCTTTCAGAGCCGGCCTTCAGTTTCCCGTTGGTCGCGTTCATCGATTTTTACGCAAAGGTCATTACGCTAACCGCATCGGATCAGGCGCTCCAGTTTACTTGGCTGCTGTTTTGGAGTACCTATCCGCTGAAATCTTGGAGTTGGCTGGTAACGCTGCTCGAGACAACAAGAAAGCCAGAATTGTTCCTCGTCACTTACAGCTCGCTGTTCGCAACGACGAGGAGCTGAACAAACTGTTGTCGGGTGTAACCATTGCAAGCGGTGGTGTGCTGCCAAACATTCAAGCCGTTTTGCTGCCCAAGAAGAACGAAAAACTTCCAAAACCAGCAGCAGCCAAGTAAAGAGTGGGAGCTACGCGAGCACGCACTAAAACTAAAAGGCTATTTTCATAGCCACACATTTGTCAAAAACATTTTTGCGTGAACGAAAACGACTCCAGAACTTATCGGAGTTTTAAGTTTTATAAAAGGTAGAACTTAAAACTCTTTGGTTTTAAGTTTTACCTCGAACGTGTACTTTCTTAACAGATAAACGCTTGAATCAATGAAAAATTAGTACATGAGTTTGGAAAATTCTTATTTTGAACAGCTCGTTTTCATGCGTTTTGGGCTCGTGTTGCTTTTTGCAATACATCCTTGATTGATAGCTTGAACACAGAAAAAACTTTGTTGCCTTTCATGTGTTCGGAGTTAATTTCGAACGACCGAAAAGCCTTTGATCCGCCTGAGGGTTACTTACTAAGTTTTTTTTGTTAGTTTTATGACGATTTCTGCGTTTTTGCCAATAATAATTATGCGTTGCGCTAACAAAATTCTGCAGAAAGAAACCGATTTTTTGTTTGTTTCACCAATTAGTTGTTTGTTTTTTCTTATCTGCCTAATTGATACCGTCATAAAGATTGCCAATATTTCAGTGCACAGTATAGCTTTATCTCAAAAAGTAAAAAAATGAACAGATTGACGCGCTCAAGTTTGATTATTGAATCGATAGCTTTTCTTTGGCTCTTGTTTCAGATGATAAAAGTAATCAAGTAGATCACTAGCTGTCGACTGGGTAATAATAATAATAATAATAATAATAATAATAATGATAATAAAATAATAATGGGAGAACTGAATGTATAGTCCCGGATCCGCTGCAGAGTATCTTTTCAGTACATAGAGGAATCTTTCATCAGACAATCATTTAGATCACTAGCTGTCAGGTAATAAAACGTCAAATGGGTAAAATGGGTGAGCAGACAAAAAGTTTCTAAATTCAATCCAGAGTTTCTTTTTCGGATACAGCTGATAAAAGCAACCGATTAGATCACACGCGGTCAAATTGTGGAAACGTGTGAACACACTAAAAAGTTCTAAATTCATTCAAGAGTTACATATTCAGTCGAAAAAGTGTCCTTTTGTCAGGCGATAAAAGCAATCGATTTGATTGCTAGGTGTCAAACGGGTGAGATGTGTGATCAGAAAAAATGTCCTGCACCCGCTCCAGAGATTCTTTTTAGTCCATAAAGTGTTCTTTTACCAGATGATAAAAACAACCGACAAGATCGCCTGCTCTCAAATGGGTGGCCTATTTTTCGAGATTAGATCACTAACTTTCAAATGGGCGAAATAAGTAAACGAAAAAAAATGTCTCTGATCTGCTACAGAGTTACTTGTTAGTCGATAGACTGCACATTTTACGAAGTGATAAAAACAGTTTGATCGCCAAACATGGCTTTTTAACATTTGACAACAGTCACTTCTGCATCTGTAGTCATTTATCATATTTCTTTTTTTTTTTTGTTTTTCCCGTTTTTTTGTTTCTCCCAATGATGAAACAAACTAATTATGCACCGCAAACAAGCTCATTTTTGTCACTAGTGATCGTATTTGTGGCGATCGCCAAAAAAAAAAAAAAACGATGGCAAAAAAAAAAAATGTTTTTTGGCTTTAAAGTTTAAAGGTGACCTGCAGGCCTTAGTTTAATAGCATTAGTTTGTTTCGAAAGCGTCGTTTTTGCTAAAGAAAATGACGAAAAAGTTCTAAACATGACGTGTCCCCGTGCTCCATGTGTTGATTTGTCAACTGTCATATATTTGTATCCGAGTGCCTCACTCGCATTTCACCGTGATTGCGACAACATTAAAAGAATCACAAACAAAACTCGTGTTATAGTCATGTTTTATGATTGTTTGTTTCTTCGTGTTGTTTTTTGTTGTTGGTTTTCGCAAAAACACACGGATAACGTCATTCATTTTTTATTTTTTGTTTGTTTGTTTGATGGCATTTCTCTTTTACATATATAACAAATGCTGCATTAAAAGTAATGCGGCAGAAAAAAAAAAAAAAAAATTAGCGAGTAAACGTCTCGGCAGTTTACTTTAACATCGGTCTAGCAGAATGTTTCGATAAACTGCCAAGCAAATGAATATCAGCGCAATTTCGAAACAAATGCGGCGAAATGAACAGTACTCCGCTTACGCACCACCTAGCGGTGACAAGAAGTTGTAAAAGTACTGACGCACGTGATGCAAGTCGAATCATTTTTCTCACTGTGGCGCGTGTTTGTGTCGCTTGTTTCTCTGCTGTCTAAGCAACGTCTATAGCTTGGCAAACGTAAAACGTTGGTTTTTCCTCTCCCCGTGTTGTTTGTCTATCTTTAGAAGCAAATTTGGTTTGATTTAGGTCAACTTTACCTCGGTTTTCTTTTGACGCGCACGCTAGTTTGCTTTTGACAGAGCGCATTTTTGTCTTTTTTAGCGCATATCTATCGCTAGCGAAACGCTATCGAACGGAAACGAATGAGTTTGTTGAGCGTCACTATTCTACAGAAGATTTTTCGAAGAAATGCACTTTCTAGCAGTAGAGCTACGTGAACGCTGGACGTCTCCCTGTAGACACGAAAACACAATTTGCAGCTCGACGGAGTAGCTGAAATTTTTGGATAGTCCTCTACAGTCCGCACAAACTCGGCTAGAAAAAGAAAAACAACTTTGCGATGCAAACATTTGAAAGAAAAATTTAGCTAAGCTGCAAAGTTTGTGTGATTACTAGAAAATGAGTGAAACCGCATCTCCTAAAAAGATCGCTAAGAAATCGGCTCCCAAAAAGCCTGCCGATCATGCTCCGTACAAGGCCATGATTGTTGATGCCATCAACTCGCTTAAAGAACGCAAAGGATCGTCCAGACAAGCCATCGCTAAGCACGTTAAAGCCAACAACAAGGTAGGCGACAATGTCGATTCGCAAGTGAAGATCAATCTTAAGCGAATGGTCGTTGCCGGTGAGCTGGTACAAGTGAAAGGTGTTGGCGCATCCGGTTCGTTTAGAGTTGCTGCCAAGCCTAAGGCGGCTAAGAAGAAGAGTCCTGTTGCAACCGTTAAAAAAGTCAAGAAAGAAAGCAAAGAAGTGAAGAAAAGCACGCCCAAAAAGAAAGCCGCTCCGACTAAAAAGGTGACAGCAGCAGCCAAAGAAAAAGCGAAAAAACCGAAAGAAAAAGCAGCTAAGAAGACGCCAGCGAAAAAGAGCGCCCAAAAGCCGTTGGCAGCAAAAAAACCTGCTG